GCTGTTATAATTTAAAAAAAAAGTTGTCATTTTAAGCACCAACATATTTATTATTGTTATCAATGTAACTGATAAGTAAACAACCTCTTATTAATGACAATAAATGGGAAAATAAAACTTAAATTCCTCAGCTTATTAAAGTATTAACAGCATTTGAAAAGTGCAACTTTAAGTAAAAAAATAACATGCCTCACACTTTCCAACATAAACTTAAACTGTTGGTAAACATATAATAGCAAAATGCTGCCTCATATAGACAACAACTCTTTAGTTTTGCAGTAGTCCAACTAAAAAAAAACCAAAGCTAGCCAATAAACCAGACTCTTGGAATGAAGTGTGGCTGCAGCTTTTGCTGTTTGACTATCTATGTTGTTAGTTGAACAAGTTTATTGCTTAAGTCTTTCGTTTTATATATCATGTGTTGCTTTTTTTTTTTGCACATATTTTTTCTTGCAATATTGAGTCAATTGTATGCCGCAATGCGTTCAAACTACGTTTAAACTAAAGCCAAACAACAATTTCACAACTAAGCTTTTTTTATTTTATAAATGATTTTTCTTTAATAGTTTTCTAATATTTTACCAGCAGCTGTAAAATATTTCATGTTGTGTAATATTTGGCTGATCATAGAAACTCATAGAAATGCTAAACAGGACTAAAGCTGTATGATATTTATAATATAAAAAAATAAAAAATGTTGATTTCAAATCCCCCAAAACATCACTAACCACTCCCGTTTTGTTTAGCTGACAGACAATTACTGGTGAAGGTGGTAAAGTTGAAAAAATGCTGTCTTTTTTTCTGAAATCATTGGTGCATGAATCTTGTAGATATCATATTTCTTTCACTGTGGTAATAGTTACTTGTGTCTTCATGCCAAATGATAAAATTGTAAAAAATAATGAAAATGTATGACTGGAAAACGATCTACACTAATGACTTTAGACTGATCTACAGTCTTAACTATAGACTGATCTACTGTCTTGACTATAGACTGATCTATAGTCCTAACTATAGACTGATCTATAGTCTTAACTATAGACTGATCTATAGTCTTAAATATAAACTGATCTATAGTCTTGACTATATACTGATCTATAGTCTTGACTATAGACTGATCTATAGTCTTAAATATAAACTGATCTATAGTCTTGACTATAGATTGATCGATTACTTCAACTATAGTCTTGACTACACAACGGTCGATAAACTATATACTTATATAATAACGAATCTATTTATAGTTTTGACTCCAAACTGATTTATAGTCTTGACTTTAGAATAAAGATTGTCTTGACCGATCTTCGTCTTACTGACTTTACTGATCTATAGTTTTGACTTTAGACTAAATCGTAGTCTTAACAATAGACCGATCTATAGTCTTGACTCTAGACTGATCTATAGTCTTGACTTAAGACTGATCTATAGTCTTGACTATAGACAGATCTATAGATTATAGACTTATTTATAGACTAATCTATTGACTGATCTATAGTCTTGACTATTGACTGATCTCTAATCTTAACTATATGTCAGTTTTAGTCTTAACTTTAGACTGATCTATGGTGTTGACTATAGTCTTGACTATAGGATGATCCATCGTCTTAACTATAGACTGATCTATAATCTTTACTATAGACTGGTCTATAGTCTTGACTATGGACTGATCTATAGTCTTGACTATAGACTGATCTATAGTCTTGACTATAGACTGATCTATAGTCTTGACTATAGACTGATCTATAGTCTTGACTATAGACTGATCTATAGTCTTGACTATAGACTGATCTATAGTCTTGACTATAGATTAATCTATAGCCTTGACTATAGACTGATCTATAGTCTTGACTATGGACTGATCTATAGTCTTGACTATAGACTGATCTATAGTCTTGACTATAGACTGATCTATAGTCTTGACTATAGACTGATCTATAGTCTTGACTATAGACTGATCTATAGTCTTGACTATAGACTGATCTATAGTCTTGACTATAGACTGATCTATAGTCTTGACTATAGACTGATCTATAGTCTTGACTATAAACTGATCTATAGTCTTGACTATAGACTGATCTATGGTGTTGACTATAGACTGATCTATAGCCCTGACTATAGACTGATCTATAGCCTTGACTATAGATTGATCTACAGTCTTGACTATAGATATATCTACAGTCTTGACTATAGACTGATCTATAGTCTTGACTATAGACTGATCTATAGTCTTGACTATAGACTAATCAATAGCCTTGACTATAGACTGATCTATAGTCTTGACTATGGACTGATCTATAGTCTTGACTATAGACAGATCTATTGTCTTGACTATAGACAGATCTATAATCTTGACTATAGACTGATCTATGGTGTTGACTATAGACTGATCTATAGCCCTGACTATAGACTGATCTATAGCCTTGACTATAGATTGATCTACAGTCTTGACTATAGATATATCTACAGTCTTGACTATAGACTGATCTATAGTCTTGACTATAGACTGATCTATAGTCTTGACTATGGACAGATCTATTGTCTTGACTATAGACAGATCTATAATCTTGACTATAGACTGATTTATAGCCTTGACTATAGACTGATCTAGATCTATAGTCTTGACTATAGACTGATCTATAGTCTTGACTATTGACTTGACTATTTACTTGACTATTAACTGATCTATAGTCTTGACTATAGACTGATCTACAGGCTTGACTATAGGCAGATCTATATTCTTGACTATAGACTGATCTATAGTCTTATCTATAGACTGATCTATAGTCTTGACTGTAGGCTGATCTATAGTCTTGACTATAAACTGATCTATAGTCTTGTCTATAGACTGATCTATAGTCTTGAATATAGACTATAGTCTTGACTATAGACTGCTCTATAGGTTTCACTATAGACTAATCTATAGTCTTGGCTAACTACTGATCTATAGTATTGAATATTAACTGATCTATAGTCTTAACTATTAACTCAAGACTATAGACTATAGACTGATCTATAGTCTTGACTATAGACCGATCTACAATGTGAAGTTAAAACCTATATACAAACTGGACTATAGACTGATATGTATTTTTGGCTATAGTATGATCTAGCTTGCAATCTTGACTAAATATAGTCTTGACTATAAGCAGGTTTGTGCTATTGACTTTATACTGCTGATATACCTTTAGTAGGGCAATTTACAAACTCCACATTGAAAGTTTTTGCAGTTTTCTTATATAAATTATAATGTTTCTGCTCTTAAATTAAACACATTAAACAATATAAAACAGAAAAAAAGTTAAATTTAGTTTAACATCAAAACCATAATAAAAATGAGGTCAACCCAATATAAATTGCTGTCATTACAACTCGATTGTCACCGGTTTTGTCTCATTTAAGTATATTTTTAAGAAATCACAACAATAATCCACAAATTGTTGTTACAATTATTGTATTTATTTGCCTCACTAAAGAAATTGTAGGTTTTTATATGGGATTTAGTTGTTACTTACTTGCAAGTAATTTGCTAATTTGTGGTTAACAATTGTTTTCAATAAATACTTACTTAGTTACAACTTGCCTATATTTATTTAATCTTTTTTTTTTTTTTTTTTGCTTTTCTTTTTTTGTTGTTAAAGTTGCAAGCGCCTATTTTCTACGCCAAACCGATTATTATTATTACACCAGAGTTGTAAGTAAGCTGGTATTTTAAGTTGTAAGAAAAACTTACTTCTTTTGGGGTTTTATAGCTTAAGAAAAGAGAAAGAGTAAAATAGTTGGAAATATTCGGTTGCACAATTGTTCATAATGCAACACCGAGATATTTGTATTTATTGTGTTGTTGTTTTTTCTTCTTTTCATTGCACCAGCTTTATAATCGTATGGATAAATTTTTATTATTATTATTATTATTTATGTTGAAAAACAAAACCTATAAATATCTGTTTTGTTTTGAAAGTTTGCAAATATATATTTACAGTGGGCGCTATTTTCTGCCAAATAGATCAATATATGGCTAAGACTAAAGATCAGTGTGTAATCAAAGATCTAGTTCAGTTTATAGTCAAGAATATAGATCAATTTATGTCAAATCAGAAGATCAGCGTACAGTCAAGTCTACAGATCAATCTATACTCAATTCTGATCAATATATCAGTAAGTCTATAGATCAGTTTACAGTTAAGACTGTAGATCAGTCAATAGTCAAGACTGTAGATCAGTCAATAGTCGAGATTCAATCAAAAGTCGTATCTATTGATCAGTTTTAATTCAAGACTATTGATCAGTCTATAGACAGGTCTAAAGATCATTTTATAGATGAGTCTAAAAGGCAAATCTGTACTTCACTCCGTAGTCAATATAATAGATCAATCCACTGGCAAATCTATAGATCAACCTGAATATAAGTTTATACTCAAAACTATACTATAGATTAGTTTATATCAAGAATTTAGATCAGTTATTAGTCATGATTATGGATAACATTGACTATAGATGAGATATAAACATGACTGTCAAGATTATAGATCAGTTTATAGGCAAGCCTAAAGATCAGTCCTTAGTCAAGACTATGGATCAAGATTATAGATCACATTATAGTATTGGTTATAGATCAAATTGAAGTCAAGACTATAGATCTGTCTATAGACAAGACTAAAGATCAGTTCGTAGTCAAGACTATAGATCAGTATATTAACAAGACAGCAGATCAGTCTATAGACAAGCCTATAGAGCAGTCAATAGTTAGGTTTATAGAACAGCGTGCAGATCAGTCTAGAAGCAATATAACAACACAGTCTTGGTTCATGACTATAGATCAGTCATTTGTAACCACTGTGCAATATCAAATGCAATTTATTTTCAAATTAAAAACATAAAATAGGCAATTTATTTAACATAGTGCAGGTGTTTTAAAAATAAAATCCCACTAATGAACTTTGATCTTGCTTTAATTAAAAAAATAAAAAAACTTTATTTCATTATTATTATTTGTTTTACAGCTACAAAATGCCCGAATTAACTCCTGTACAAGAATACTATAAAGGCAAAACCATATTCATTACCGGTGCCTCCGGTTTTATGGGTAAAGTTTTGTTGGAAAAACTCTTATACTCCTGTCATGAGCTAAAAGAAATTATCATGATCTGTCGTCCCAAAAGAGGCAAGACTCCTGAATCACGTTTAGAGGATATGTTTAAATTGCCCGTAAGTACATATATATATAAAAAAATTCATTTTTAAAAAAAGTCATCAAATTGTAATGCTCTCTACATAGATCTTCCAACGTATCAAAGAGGAAAGACCACATGTTTTGAAAAAGGTAACCATTTATCAAGGTGATGTTACCTACGAAATGTTGGGCTTATCGGGCGAAAATCTTAAGCATGTCTGCGATAACACTAACATTGTTTTCCACATGGCAGCCACTTTAAAATTGGAGGGCAATTTAAAAGATGCCATTGATATGAATTTAGCTGGCACTAGACGTGCCTTAGATGTGGCCAAACAAATGAAAAACTTGGAAGCATTTGTACATCTATCGACGGCCTTCTGTAATTGTGATCAGGAAGTAATGTATGAAAAGGTTTACGACTTCCCTCACAAACCCGAAGATCTTATGCGCTTGGCCGAATGGATGGATTTGAAGACATTGGAGAATATTACACCCGATTTGTTGAAACCACATCCCAACACTTATACGTATTCGAAACGTTTGGCTGAGTTATTTATACGTGATCATTACGAGACAATGCCAGTGATCATTGCTCGTCCAAGTATTGGTAAGTGCTAGTAATGTTATTAAGTTTCATTTTATGTTCGAATTATAAGACTTTGGGAGCTTTAGCTTATGGCAATGTGATCATTTAAATAACTGCAAGAAAAAAAAAAACTATATGTACGCTATTTAATTTATGAACATTTATGCTTGGCTTTAATTAAAAAATTAAAAACAATATAACGAAATGTTAATAATATTATGGAATTACTTTCTATAATATAATTTTCATTTCATCAAACTCTCATGCTCATATTTATGAAAAAAACAAAAGCTCTGCTTGTGCAAAAGTTTTTACAATTTTATTAAAAGTATTTTTATGTTGCAAAAATTGCAGAAAATAAAAGTTAAGTAAATCCAAGCCTTTAGTCAAGACGGCAAATTAGGTAATAGTATAGACTACAGTCTCTAGTTAAGAGTGTAGTTGAGTCTACAGTATTTGATCATTATTAAGTCAAGGCTCTTGATCAGCCTACTTTCAATACTATAGATCAGCCAATAGTCATTACTATAGATCAGTCTATATTCAAGACTAAAGATCAGTGTATAATGAATACTATAGATCGGTCTATAGTCAAAATTATAGATCAGTCTATAGTCATGACTATAGATCAGTCTATAGTCAAGACTATAGCTCATCCTATAGGCAAGACTATAGATCATCCTATAGTCAAGACTATAGATCATCCTATAGTCAAGACTATAGATCATCCTATAGTCAAGACTATAGATCAGTCTGTAGTCAAGACTATAGATCAGTCTATAGTCAAGACTATAGATCAGTCTATAGTCAAGACTATAGATCAGTCTATAGCCAAGACTATAGATCAGTCTATAGCCAAGACTATAGATCAGTCTGTAGTCAAGACTATAGATCAGTCTATAGTCATGACTATAGATCAGTCTATAGCCAAGACTATAGATCAGTCTATAGTCAAGGCTATAGATCAGTCTATAGTTATGACTGTAGATCTGTCTATAGTCAAGACTAGAGATCAGTCTATTGGCAAGATTATAGATTAGTCTATAGTCAAGACTATAGATTAGTCTATAGTCAAGACTATAGATTAGTCTATGGTCAAGACTATAGATCAGTCTATAGTCAAGACTATAGATCAGTCTATAGCCAAGACTATAGATCAGTCTATAGTTAAGACTATAGATCAGTCTATAGCCAAGACTATAGATCAGTCTATAGTCATGACTGTAGATCTGTCTATAGTCAAGACTAGAGATTAGTCTATTGGCAAGACTATAGATTAGTCTATAGTCAAGATTATAGATCAGTCTATAGTCAAGACTATAGATCAGTCTATAGCCAAGACTATAGATCAGTCTATAGCCAAGACTATAGATCAGTCTATAGTCAAGACTGTAGATCAGTCTATAGTCAAGACTATAGATTAGTCTATTGGCAAGACTAGTCTATAGTCAAGACTATTGATCATTCTATAGTCAAGACTATAGATCAGTCTATAGTCAAGACTATAGATCAGTCTATAGTCAAGACTATATATCAGTCTATAGTTAAGACTATAGGTAAGTCTGTAGTTAAGATCTGCCCATTGTAACTACTTTAGATAAGTCTATAGTCAATACTATAGATTAGTCTACAAACCAGTCCATATTGAAGAGAATAGATCAATCTAAAGTCTAGTATATAGATCAGTCTATAGTCAACACTATAGGTTATTCCATAGTCAAGACTATAGTTAAGTCTATAGTCAAGACTATAGATCAGTCTATAGTCAAGACTTTAGATTAGTCTATTGTTAAGACTATATATTACTCTATTGTCAAAACTATAGATCACTCTATTGTTACGATTATAGATCAGTCTATAGTCAAGACTACAAATCAGTCCATAGTCAGGACTACAGATCAGTCTAGAGTCTCTCAAGCTAGTTATAGATTTCCGCGATCTGGAACATATGTAACAAACATAAACAAATTGCAAAAAGCTTTGAACAACAATAAAACTCTCTTATCTAAAACAGCCTAAGCTTTACTCTTTACACTCAGTTTCCGATCTCTTTTAAAGTATTTTCTTAAAGTTTTCCTAGTGTGCTTTTACAAAATATATTGCAAAATGTGAATAATAAATGAAAATTGTGTTACAAAAACTCTCAAAATAATTAAAATGCTTTAAAGCCACAACAGCTAACCAACAGCTTAAAATAAATACATTAAGAATAAAGCTTTTAAAGCTTTTCAAAACAAAGTGTTACCCACGAAAAACTCTAAAGCACTTGTAAATAACATGCTCAAACAAAACAACAACTTTAAAATTTAAGGAAATTTTCTAAAAAAGAAATTTTCTCTTGAAATACACACTCTAACTTGCCTCTCCCAGTTGCCTTACTTTTTCAAATTGAAACTGCCGCTGCTGCTGCTCGAATAATGCATTCTAGTGCCGGACGAAAAGCCTTTCCTAAAACAGCAACAACAACCACACAGCTGGCAAAAATTTCTCTCCCCCCTTTCTGCAGAAACACGCTTAAAATTGCTTTCTATGTAACACTATTTCTAAAACAAAAAAACCAAACTTATTCATCAAACTTAGTATCACCATCGGCCTATGAGCCTGTACCTGGCTGGGTGGACAATCTAAATGGACCCACCGGACTAATGGTGGGCGCTGGCAAAGGTGTTATACGCTCCATGTTAATCGATACATCGCACAAATCTGAGGTTATACCTGTGGATTATGCCATCAATGGTTTGGTTGTAATACCCTATGAATTCTGCACGAAACCACGGTAGTTGTTTAATAATTTTCAAAAAATCATTTTTTTTTTTGTTGTAAAAAAATCGTAAACGTTAAAAAATATAACATTTTACAGCCCGGAGGAGATACCGATTTATAATATCACTTGCGCCGAGAGACGTAAAGTACCGTGGGGCATTGTTATAGAATTGAGTAAAAAAATTGGCTATCAATATCCCATGGAAACCGGTTTATGGTATCCGGACGGTTGTATAACCACAAATCGTTTACATCATCAAATTAATGTCATACTCTTTCATTGGCTGCCAGCCTACTTTATTGATTTCATATTGTTTTTATTAGGTCAAAAACGATTGTAAGTTGTTTTCCATTTTATACTTTGTTGTTCATCTTTCTTTTAAACTTTTTTTCTTAAACAATATTTTGAAGATTGTAGTGTTTGTTTTTTGAAAAGAGCATTAACACCAAAACAACATGAATTGTGATAGTAGGGGAGTTCAAAGAGAGTGAACATTATTAAAATATTAAAATTTGTATAAGAAATTCCATTTTAAAGCTTTTCAGAAACAGATTTTTAAGCTTTTATTCATAAAAATTTTGTTGTTTTTTTTCTTAAAAAGCTTTTGTCTTTAACGTTGTCTTTTGTTCTTTAAGTTTTTTTCTTAAAAAGCTTTCTTTAAGTTAAAAAGCCGTTTTTAAATTTTTTTTCTTAAAATTCTTCAGCTTTTTTATTAAAAATCTTTTTTGAAGATTTTTCTTAAAAAGCTTTTATAAGCTTTTCTTCATAAACATCTTTTTCCTTAAAAAGTTTTTTTAATAATATTTTTCATAGAAAGCTTTTTAAAACTTTTTTCATAAAAAGCTTTTAAAAGCTTTTCCTAAAAAAAAGCTTTTCTCTAAAAAAAAGTTTTAGCTTTTCTCTAGCTTTCTCTTTTCATAAAAAGTTTTTTCAAAAGGTTTTTTAAGTTTTTTTTCATAAAAAGCTTTTAAAAGCTTTTCCCTAAAAAAGCTTTTTAAAGCTTTTCTCTTTTTTAATAAAAAGCTTTTCTGAGCTTTTTTTAATAAAAAGCTTTTCTAAGCTTTTTTAATAAAAAGCTTTTCTAAGCTTTTTTAATAAAAAGCTTTTCTAAGCTTTTTTAATAAAAAGCTTTTCTAAGCTTTTTTAATAAAAACCTTTTCTAAGCTTTTTTTATAAAAATCTTTTCTAGGCTTTTTTTATAAAAATCTTTTTTAAGCTTTTTATCATAAAAGCTTTTTTTAACTTTTTTCATAATAAGTTTTTTAAAACTTTTTTTCATAAAAAGCTTTTTTCATAAAAGGCTTTTCAAAGCTTTTTTCAGTAGAAGCTATTTAAAGCGTATTTTCATAAAAAGCTTTTTCAACATTGTTCATACTACTTCATCAATGTTGTTTTGGTGTAAAATTTCTTTCAACAAATATAAAAGTCCACAATTTTCCAACTACTCTAGTATGATTCGTGTGCAAAATCGTGTACAAATCGGTTTAGGGGTTTTACAATTCTTTACCATGCGCGCCTGGAATTTCAAATCAAAAGCCTATGAATTATTATGGGAGAATTTAAGCGAAGAAGACAAAATAATGTAAGCTTTGAAATAAAATTTTACATAAAATTTACGAACTGTATAAATTTCTATAAAAAAAAATTCAGATTCAACATGAATATGGACACAGTCGATAATATAGAAGAATATATGATATCTTGCATACAAGGTGGTCGTCAATATTTGATGAAAGAATCACCCGATACTCTACCCAAAGCGAGAAGACAATTAAAATTGTGAGATTTGGAGCTTTCTTAATTATTTTATTATAATTAAATAATATTTATTTCCTTTAGCATGTATTTACTTGATCGAACTTGCAAGGCCGTATTTTTGGGTCTTCTCTGTTATTGGACTTATAATTTTGTTAAGCCTCTAGTGAGTGCTTAACAGTTAATTAATGTTTTAGGTTTTTCCATGAATTTGTTATATCTTTTGTTTATTTTATTTTAAGAAAGCTTTATTTTGTAAAAGGGTTGCTAGTTTTTAAGTTTTAGATAATAAATGAAGTATTTCTTAAAAAGCTTTTAAATTAAAAAAAAATTTTTTTTCTTAAAAAGTTTTTTAAGTTTTTTTCTTAAAAATCTCTATAAAACGTTTTTCTTATAAAGCCTTTTAAAGCTTTTTTCTTAAAAAGCTTATTTAAGCTTTTTTCATAAAAAGCTTATTTAAGTTTTCTTCATAAAAAGCTTATTTAAGCTTTTTTCATAAAAAGCTTATTTAAGTTATTTTCTTAAAAAGATTGTGTAAGCTTTTTGCTTAAAAAGCCTTTTAAGCTTTAAGTTTTTTTCCAAAAGACTTTTAAGCTTTTTTCTTAAAAACGCTTTTTAATTTTTTTTTATAAACTTTTTTTACTATTTAAGCTTTTTTCGTTAAAATTTTAACAAGCTTTTTTTTTAAAGCAAAATTTTAAATATTGAAAAGCTTTAAAAAATATGTATTACGCAAAACAAAAGTATCGCGTTTATAATTTAAACTTAAGTTTAACTCAAAACTTACACATACCTAATAACATACAAACACTAACACAAAATTTACTCACAATTAAACATAAACATCAAATACATGCAAACATTTTAACACTTTCACAAATACATACATACATTACCCTCACACCTAATACAAACATCAATACCAATTCAAGCTTATTTTAAGTTTAAACTATAGTTAATTAAATTTTAATTAAACTACAGTTAAACTTGAAATATAAACCCAGCTTTTCTAACTACATAAGTGTCAAAAAAAAAATATCATGGAAGAAAAAAATCTCTATCAAACATCATCTCCTCAAATCATTAACAAATCATGTAAGTGGTTCATGTATTTTAAAGATCAAATTATAAATTTCCAAAAAAATTTTAACACAATTTTATTAAATCTTTACCAAACAACAACAACAACAGTATCACCAGCTGCTTATGAACCCTTACGTGGTTGGGTTGATAACCTTAACGGTCCCACTGGTCTTATGATCGGTTGCGGTAAAGGTGTTATACGTTCCGTATTGGTAGATGAGAATAATAAATCGGAAGTTATACCCGTTGATTATGCCATTAATGGCTTAATTGTTATACCCTACGAGTTTAACAAAGGCAAAAGGTGAGTTTAATTTGTTGTAATATTAAAATAAGTAGAAAGTATTTTAAATTGTTAATTATTTTCCTTATCTAGACCTGCTGAGGTTCCCGTTTATAATATCACCAATGCTGAACATCGTAAAATGTTGGGCGGTACTGTCATCGAAATGAGCAAACGCATTAATAAGGAATATCCCTTTAATGCCGGTCTTTGGTATCCTAATCCCACGGTGACCACAAATAAATTATATCATCAGTTCAATGTCCTTATGTTCCACTGGTTGCCAGCCTATTTCTTGGATTTCCTTATGCTGATTTTCGGCCAAAAGAGATTGTAAGTCAATACGAATAATTTAATGTTCAAAACTATTATCGGTTCAATATGTGGTGTATTTTTGACGCAATTTTGAAAGCATTTTAAAATTTTTGCTCTATAGGAGTCGTTTTTGAACTAGAACTGAACTAGAACTGAACTGAACTAGAACTGAACTAGAACTGAACTAGAACTGAACTAAACTGAACTAGAACTGAACTAGAAACTGAACTAGAACGAACTAGACTGAACAACTGAACTAGAACTGAACTAGAACTGAACTAGAACTGAACTAGAACTGAACTAGAACTGAACTAGAACTGAACTAGAACTGAACTAGAACTGAACTAGAACTGAACTAGAACTGAACTAGACTGAACTAGAACTGAACTAGAACTGAACTAGAACTGAACTAGAACTGAACTAGCAGAACTAGAACTAGCTGAACTAGAACTGAACTAGAACTGAACTAGAACTGAACTAGAAGAACTAAAGAACTAGAACTGAACTAGAACTGAACTAGAACTGAACTAGAACTGAACTAGAACTGAACTAGAACTGAACTAGAACTGAACTAGAACTGAACTAGAACTGAACTAGAACTGAACTAGAACTGAACTAGAACTGAACTAGAACTGAACTAGAACTGAACTAGAACTGAACTAGACTGAACTAAAACTGAACTAGAACTGAACTAGAACTGAACCAGAACTGAACCAGAACTGAACTAGAACTGAACTAGAACTGAACTAGAACTGAACTAGAACTGAACTAGAACTGAACTAGAACTGAACTAGAACTGAACTAGAACTGAACTAGAACTGAACTAGAACTGAACTAGAACTGAACTAGAACTGAACTAGAACTGAACTAGAACTGAACTAGAACTGAACTAGAACTGAACTAGAACTGAACTAGAACTGAACTAGAACTGACTAGAACTGAACTAGAACTGAACTAGAACTGAACTAGAACTGAACTAGAACTGAACTAGAACTGAACTAGAACTGAACTAGAACTGAACTAACTGAACTAGAACTGAACTAGAACTGAACTAGAACTGAACTAGAACTGAACTAGAACTGAACTAGAACTGAACTAGAACTGAACTAGAACTGAACTAGAACTGAACTAGAACTGAACTAGAACTGAACTAGAACTGAACTAGAACTGAACTAGAACTGAACTAGAACTGAACTAGAACTGAACTAGAACTGAACTAGAACTGAACTAGAACTGAACTAGAACTGAACTAGCACTGAACTAGCACTGAACTAGCACTGAACTAGAACTGAACTAGAACTGAACTAGAACTGAACTAGAACTGAACTAGAACTGAACTAGAACTGAACTAGAACTGAACTAGAACTGAACTAGAACTGAACCAGAACTGAACTAGAACTGAACTAGATCTGAACTAGAACTGAACTAGAACTGAACTAGAACTGACTAGAACTGAACTAGAACTGAACTAGAACTGAACTAGAACTGAACTAGAACTGAACTAGAACTGAACTAGAACTGAACTAGAACTGAACTAGAACTGAACTAGAACTGAACTAGAACTGAACTAGAACTGAACTAGAACAGAACTAGAACTGAACTAGAACTGAACTAGAACTGAACTAGAACTGAACTAGAACTGAACTAGAACTGAACTAGAGCTGAACTAGAGCTGAACTAGAACTAAAAATTCGATATTTCAAAATACCAGATTTATTACTATAAATACTAAATACTCTAGTTACTGAGTTCCCTAATGACCCTGTAAATTTCCACGTTTACTCCTCATTGATTTAAATAATGTATTCATTATTGCTCATTAAAAATTCATAATCAATGTAATTTAATTTAATTCAACGTGTTGATCATTTATATCTTTAATCTATAGTTTAAATATTTTATTAATAAATTTTTTTCTTTTAAACTTACAGCATGATTAAAATTCAAAACAAAATTGCTACTGGTCTAGAGGTTTTGCAATTCTTTACTTTGCATCCCTGGAATTTCAAATCAGATAATTATGGTGCCTTGTGGAAAAATTTAACACCAAAAGATAAGGAAATGTAAGCAAAAAAGTTGTTATATGTTAAAAACGTGATTAATAATAAAAGAAATTACTTATAGCTTTAACATGAACATGGATCCCAAAGAAACTGAAGAGGAATATTTGATTAACTGTGCCAAGGGCGCTCGTCTCTTTATTTTGAAAGAGAAATTGGAAGATTTGCCTAAGGCTAGACTTCACATGAAAATGTAAGTGTTTCTTATCAAAAAAATTTTACTAATTTTATTAAATTTTTATATCTTTTCTTTTTCAGCCAATATGTGGTCGATAAAGTTTGCAAAACTTTAATTGTGGGTCTTTTCTTGTACTATGTACTAAAATGGACTGGAGTTTTAGCCATGTTCTAAACAATTTATGCATTTGTTAATTATAATTAACAATTTACTTTTAGATTATTTAGGTTTTTTTATATTAAATATATGTAAATGAATTAATGTACAGGGTCGAAGTAATAAAAATTTTGTAAAAAAACATGTAAACTATATCTTTGGATAAGTGTTTTAATTAGTTTTCCTCTATTAATAAAAGTTTTATAATAAAAATATTTTCCAAATTTCTTAAAAATAAAAAAAAAAACTATAGTGACGCCTGCATTTCAAGAACCTTTACCGGGTTGGGTGGATAATTTAAATGGTCCCACGGGTGTTATGATAGGAGCCGGCAAAGGTGTTATACGTTCTATGCTGTGTAATGGGGAATTAAAATCGGAAGTAATACCAGTGGATATAGCTATAAATGGTTTAATTGTTATACCCTATTATGTGAATCAATTGAAGGAGAGGTATTAAAATAGCTTAATTATATCACTTTTTATCCGATCATAAAAAAATTATGGTTTCTAGACCCGCCCATTTACCCATATTCAATTTGACTGTGCATGAATCCCAGAAACGCACCTGGAAATGGGTTATGGATAAGGGAAGGGAGTTTGCTGAAAAATATCCTTTTGAAGTCGGTCTTTGGTATCCAGATGGAAATATGACCAGTAATAAATATTATCACTGGTTCTGTGTCGTCTTGTTTATGTGGTTACCAGCCGTTTTGGTGGATTGTTTGTTGACCCTATTTCGTCAGAGGAGATTGTAGGTTCATATAGAAGCTGTAAATTTTGTATTCTATTTAAAATCTATTTTCTTTAAATTCTCAGCATGGTCCGTGTTCAAAAACGTATTGCCACCGGTTTAGAAGTTTTACAGTTTTTCACTACACGTGCCTGGGATTTTAAATCGAATAATTTCCGAGAACTTTATAAGTTGCTAACAGAAGAAGAGAAGAAAATGTAAGTAGATTAGACGAGAACTGAACTAGAGCTGAACTAGAACTGAACTAGAACTGAACTAGAACTGAACTAGAACTGAACTAGAACTGAACTAGAACTGAACTAGAACTGAACTAGAACTGAACTAGAACTAGAACTGAACTAGAACTGAACTAGAACTGAACTAGAACTGAACTAGAACTGAACTAGAACTGAACTAGAACTAACTAGAACTGAACTAGAACTGAACTAGAACTGAACTAGAACTGAACTAGAACTGAACTAGAACTGAACTAGAACTGAACTAGAACTGAACTAGAACTGAACTAGAACTGAACTAGAACTGAACTAGAACTGAACTAGAACTGAACTAGAACTGAACTAGAACTGAACTAGAACTGAACTAGAACAGAACTGAACTAGAACTGAACTAGAACTGAACTAGAATTGAACTGGAACTGAACTAGAACTGAACTAGAACTGAACTAGAACTGAACTAGAACTGAACTAGAACTGAACTAGAACTGAACTAGAACTGAACTAGAACTGAACTAGAACAGAACTAGAACTGAACTAGAACTGAACTAGAAATGAACTAGAACTGAACTAGAACTGAACTAGAACTGAACTAGAACTGAACTAGAACTGAACTAGAACTGAACTAGAACTGAACTAGAACTGAACTAGAACTGAACTAGAACTGAACTAGAACTGAACTAGTACTGAACTAGAACTGAACTAGAACTGAACTAGAACTGAACTAGAACTGAACTAGAACTGAACTAGAACTGAACTAGAACTGAACTAGAACTGAACTAGAACTGAACTAGAACTGAACTAGAACTGAACTAGAACTGAACTAGAACTGAACTAGAACTGAACTAGAACTGAACTAGAACTGAACTAGAACTGAACTAGAACTGAACTAGAACTGAACTAGAACTGAACTAGAACTGAACTAGAACTGAACTAGAACTGAACTAGAACTGAACTAGAACTGAACTAGAACTGAACTAGAACTGAACTAGAACTGAACTAGAACTGAACTAGAGCTGAACTAGAACTGAACTAGAACTGAACTAGAACTGAACTAGAACTGAACTAGAACTGAACTAGAACTGAACTAGAACTGAACTAGTACTGAATTAGAACTAGAACTGAACTAGAACTACAACTGAAGTATGAGATTTTTATTTAAAGAAACGTCCCATTTTTACTAATAAATCTGATTTTTATTATTTATAATTTGTTCAATTAGTTTCAAAATCAACACGGAAGATATCGACGATTCCGATTATTTAAAGAGTTGCATTTTGGGTGGTCGCCAATATGTTGTGAAAGAACCTTTATGTACTTTACCCAAGGCTCGTGTACAATTAAAATGGTAAGTCCGCAAGTTAATTAAATAAATTTTAAACAAATTAGAAATGTAGCTTTGAAAACCTCCACATCTCAACCATTTTTATCCAAAAATGTTCTTTACTTTCAGCATGTACGTTTTGGATCGTGTTTGCAAAACCATTATCTGTTGCTATTTCGTCTATTGGTTAATTACAAAACTTGGAGTTATGGACTTTATAAATGATATATTTGGCTGATTATTTTGTTAAGAATTTTGTGTTTTAATTTAAGATCTTATATACGTATCATCACTATCATTTATTTCCGTTTAGAGTATTCATTTCATTTGTACAATATGGTATTTTGCAATCTATGTTACAGTTAACCTTACCTAAAGGATCTGCGTTTCTTTTGATAGACATCTAGGTATTTAACATGTTTTATTAAATTTTATTAAAGAGTATTACATTATTTTACCCTTGGGCTCAATATAATCATCATAACCTCATCATTATATAATTATTTGTTAATTGTTTTGTATATATCTAATTAAATATGATATTCTTGTATTATTTTTTGTTGGTGTTATAGAAAAAATTTACTAAAAATAAATGAAATATATAATACTCCACTGTTTTCTTTCAATAATACGAGACTGTAGTAAGTACTGTCTATCTATCTATCTTCTATCTATCTATCTATCTATCTATCTATCTATCTATCTATCTATCTATCTATCTATCTATCTATCTATCTATCTATCTATCTATCTATCTATCTATCTATCTATCTATCTATCTATCTATCTATCTATCTATCTATCTATCTATCTATCTATCTATCTATCTATCTATCTATCAGAGAGCGAGCGAGCGAGCGAGCGAGCGAGAGCGAGCAGCGAGCGAGCGAGCGAGCGAGCGAGCGAGCGAGCGAGCGAGCGAGCGAGCGAGCGAGCGAGCGAGCGAGCGAGCGAGCGAGCGAGCGAGCGAGCGAGAGAGAGCGAGCGAGCGAGCGAGCGAGCGAGCGAGCGAGCGAGGACGAGCGAGCGAGCGAGCGAGCGAGCGACAGCAGAGCGAGAGAGCGAGGAGCGAGCGAGCAGCGAGCGAGCGAGCGAGCGAGCGAGCGAGCGAGCGAGCGAGCGAGCGAGCGAGACGAGCGAGCGAGCGAGCGAGCGAGCGAGCGAGCGAGCGAGAGAGCGAGCGAGCGAGCGAGCGAGCGAGCGAGCGAGCGAGCGAGCGAGCGAGCGAGCGAGCGAGCGAGCGAGCGAGCGAGCAGCGCGAGCGAGAGAGCGAGCGAGAGAGCGAGCGAGCGAGCGAGCGAGCGAGCGAGCGAGCGAGCGAGCGAGCGAGCGAGCGAGCGAGCGAGCGAGCGAGCGAGCGAGCGAGCGAGCGAGCGAGCGAGCAGCGCGAGCGAGCGAGCGAGCGAGCGAGCGAGCGAGCGAGCGAGCGAGCGAGCGAGCGAGCGAGCGAGCGAGCGAGCGAGCGAGCGAGCGAGCGAGAGAGCGAGCGAGCGAGCGAGGAGCGAGCGAGCGAGCGAGCGAGCGAGAGAGAGAGCGAGCGAGCGAGCGAGCGAGCGAGCGAGCGAGCGAGCGAGCGAGCGAGCGAGAGAGAGAGAGAGAGCGATCGAGCGAGCTAGCAGCGAGCGAGCGAGAGCGATAGGAGAGCGAGAGAGCGAGCGATCGAGCGATCTAGCGAGCTAGGAGAGCATCGAGCGATCGAGCTATCGATCTATCTATCTATCTATCTAGCTATCTATCTATCTATCTATCTATCTATCTATCTATCTATCTATCTCATCTATCTATCTATCTATCATCATCTATATCATCTATCTATCTATCTATCTATCTATCTATCTATCTATCTATCTATCTATCTACATATCTACCTATAAAAGAGGGTTAAGTGTATCGTTTTTTTTTAACTCCCTAATGTAGGCAATAGTTTTTTTCAAGTAACGGCCTTATTATCATGAGTTTTTAATTGCCCTTTAGTTTAAAAGGTGGTCATATACACTTTAAGTTAGTTTTCAGTAATACGAACTCAAAAAAGCAGTAAGCAACTGATTACCTGTTACGTTACAAGTAATATAAAATAGAATTAAAGGTTACTTAAGTGTAACTAAGTAAACTAAAGTGTAAAGACGTTGAACTTTAGTTTAATGTTGGAAGAAGTTACATATCTTTTCACACTTAGAACACTGGGCATAAGTTGAATTTCTGGAATATTCGCTGCAATTTTTAACAAATTTTTTGAAATTTTAACAAATTTCTTTACTTGCAAATCAAAACTGCTTTCCCACAAACTTAACGTTTATTTAATGAGTTTTTACTTGCGGTTTAATGCGTTTACAAGTAAATAGATTGCAATTTTTTTTTTAACTTTTGTTTTCAATACGAAAATATTTGAAATCATATGCTAATTAGCAATAAAAGTTACACTTCGTTTAGAACACTTGTAAGTTGGCAAATATTAAACAATAATAATAATAATAAAACGTAAATAAGTAAATAACTTACTTAGTATTTATTTAGTAATCGATTTGTTGAAGTGAAAACAAAAACTACTGAACGTATGTATGTATGTAGTATGTACGTAGCCAGAGAGTATGTTTTAAAAAAAGTTATTGACAATTTGACTTTTAGTGTCAAAATGAACTTTGAAAAGGTTTTGAAATAGAGGACTTTTCATAATAGTTTTAATCTTAACTTTTATGTACATAATCGCTTATTCTACATATATTTAAAAAAACGATTATTCGACTTTTTTCGACAAACAAGTCGATAGTTTAAAAGTCGTAAATGCGAAACTTTTGGATAATCAAATTTTCTATTAGGTATTCATTTTGAATAATTTCTAAGTTAACCAAGCGGTACTTGTCTAAAAATTTGCGCAAATATTTGTTTAGCAAAAATTGCATAAAATCAATATTAGGGAAAAAATGTCAATTAAAAATGTGATGTAAATGTTTTACTAGACATTTATATTTGCCAACTGTGTAATAAACAAAATATTTCAAAAACAAGGCAAATTTCAAAATATTTATTATTGAATAAAAATTTGTAACGAAATTAATGTGTTAATAATTCTTAAAATTAATTGTGTGAATTAAACAAATTAAAAAATTACGTATTTATGATTTCTATAAATTTTTAGCGGCAAATAACAGTGATCTAAGGAAACATATTATTATTGTTAATAAATCGTTGCCAAATAAGGAAGATTTGCAAGAATTTGTTTACAAAATATAGTCTAGTCTATAGTCTAGTCTATAGTCTAGTCTATAGTCTAGTCTATAGTCTATAGTCTATAGTCTAGTCTATAGTCTAGTCTATAGTCTAGTCTATAGTCTAGTCTATAGTCTAGTCTATAGTCTAGTCTATAGTCTAGTCTATAGTCTAGTCTATAGTCTAGTCTATAGTCTAGTATAGTCTAGTCTATAGTCTAGTCTATAGTCTAGTCTATAGTCTAGTCTATAGTCTAGTCTATAGTCTAGTCTATAGTCTAGTCTATAGTTCTAGTCTATAGTCTAGTCTATAGTCTAGTCTATAGTCTAGTCTATAGTCTAGTCTATAGTCTAGTCTATAGTGTGTACCAACAAAGTACCAACGCTATCATTTCATCACACAATTCTAGCGTTAAGAAGAAAAAAATCACGTAAAATCATACTCCTCCAAAGCGAGGACGGTTCGATAACATAAACGCTTACACACATTCACCCATAAATACGCATGTATTCAAAACTAAGATCTATAGATCAATTGACACATATCGAGTACACACGTTAGATCGATTAAACAAATGAACTAATGAATTGTTGTTGCTGCTACCGCTCCCTAGCAAATGTCTAAATAAACACACTAACTACTACTGCTACTAGTCTATAGTCTAGTCTATAGTCTAGTCTATAGTCTAGTCTATAGTCTAGTCTATAGTCTAGTCTATAGTCTAGTCTATAGTCTAGTCTATAGTCTAGTCTATAGTCTAGTCTATAGTCTAGTCTATAGTCTAGTCTATAGTCTAGTCTATAGTTTAGTCTATAGTCTAGTCTATAGTCTAGTCTATAGTCTAGTCTATAGTCTAGTCTATAGTCTAGTCTATAGTCTAGTCTAAAGTCTAGTCTATAGTCTAGTCTATAGTCTAGTCTATAGTCTAGTCTAAAGTCTAGTCTATAGTCTAGTCTAAAGTCTAGTCTATAGTCTAGTCTATAGTCTAGTCTATAGTCTAGCCTATAGTCTAGTCTATAGTCTAGTCTATAGTCTAGTCTATAGTCTAGTCTATAGTCTAGTCTATAGTCTAGTCTATAGTCTAGTCTATAGTCTAGTCTATAGTCTAGTCTATAGTCTAGTCTATAGTCTAGTATATAGTCTAGTCTATAGTCTAGTCTATATTCTAGTCTAAAGTCTAGTCTATAGTCTAGTCTATAGTCTAGTCTATAGTCTAGTCTATAGTCTAGTCTATAGTCTAGTCTATAGTCTAGTCTATAGTCTAGTCTATAGTCTAGTCTATAGTCTAGTCTATAGTCTAGTCTATAGTCTAGTCTATAGTCTAGTCTATAGTCTAGTCTATAGTCTAGTCTATAGTCTAGTCTATAGTCTAGTCTATAGTCCAGTCTATAGTCTAGTCTATAGTCTAGTCTATAGTCCAGTCTATAGTCTAGTCTATAGTCTAGTCTATAGTCTAGTCTATAGTCTAGTCTATAGTCTAGTCTATAGTCCAGTCTATAGTCTAGTCTATAGTCTAGTCTATAGTCTAGTCTATAAATCAACTTTTGGTACTTTTTCTTTTATCAAATGAAACTTTTTAATGTTTTGTGATTTTTGATACTTTTTCATTCTTTAAATGGTACTTTTTATCTTTATTTCTTAAAAAACTAAACAAAGTACCAACGCTATCATTTCATCACACAATTCTAGCGTTAAGAAGAAAAAAATCACGTAAAATCATACTCCTCCAAAGCGAGGACGGTTCGAAAACATAAACTCTTACACACATTCACCCATAAATACGCATGTATTCAAAACTAAGATCTATAGATCAATTGACACATATCGAGTACACACGTTAGATCGATTAAACAAATGAACTAATGAATTGTTGTTGCTGCTACCGCTCCCTAGCAAATGTCTAAATAAACACACTAACTACTACCACTACTACTACAACTAACATTAAAATGATCATAATGTACATACATGATGATCATTTAGTATAAAGTACCCAAGAGAGAGTAAGTACCCTTTTTTCAAAATCGTACAAAACCCGAATATTGAAAAACTTAAACATTTATAAATACAAGTGTTAAGGTTTAGAAGATAACATTTCGATTTTAACTATTAACGGGCGTTGACTAAACGGATAAAAAATTGTTACAAATAAAAAAATATATATATTATTATTTATGTTTAAAAGAACTGTTTAACGGTTTTATTATTAAATATTAAAAAAACTTTTAAATTAAAAATGTTTATACAAAAAGTGGTGAGTTTTTCTTAAGAAAACTTAAAAAAAGTGCTAAAATTAATAAAAAATTTAATAAGTATCATAAAAAAAGCAATTAATAAATTAACATCTATAAAAATTTAAAG